TTTTTTTAGTAGAGATGGGGTTTCACCATATTAGCCAGGATGGTCTTGATCTGCTGACCAATGTGCTGGAATTACAGGCGTGAACCACCATACCTGGCCAAAAAATACTATGTTTAAAATCCCTTACACATAGATTCTGACTTACTCACTTGGAAAACCAATTTAAAATGCAATTAAAAACAGTAAAGGAGAAAAGTCTATTTTTCAGTTTTCTGTATTGGAGAACACCTGTATTTTTATTGGATTTACCATTTATGTTAGATTTTGAATAGTGAGGGTTAAAATGATATATACAACCATTTGTTTAAAAACAAGAACACTGTTTGCCTAGAAGAGCAAATTTTGGAAGTCTACAAACATGAAAATTTCCTTTTTTTTTTAATTTTTAATTTTTTGTGGAGACAGAGTCTTGCTATTTTGCCCAGGCTGGTCTCAAACTCCTGGCCTCAAGTGATCCTCCTTCCTCAGCCTCCCAAAGTGTTGGAATCACAGGCATGTGTTACCATGCCCAGCCACAAATATGACAGTTTAATAGCTTTATCTCCCAATAGTGCAATTAGCAGATTAAAAGGGGCCTTTTTCCCCCATATAACCTTCTTAAAATTTTTTTGCAATGAACACTTATTCAAAATAGTAAATGTTAGCAAGAATTTAGAAGAACTGCACTTTGGGAGGCTGGGGTGGGCGGATCACTTGAGATCAGGAGTTTGAGACCAGCCTGGCCAACATGGTGAAACCCCGTCTCTATTAAAAATACAAAAATTAGCTGGGCATGGTGGTGGGCATCTGTAATCCTAGCTATTCAGATGGCTGAGGCAGGAGAATCACTTGTACCTTGGAGGCAGAGGTTGCAGTGACTCGAGATTGCTCCATTGCACTCCAGCCTGGGTGACAGAGCAAGACTCCATCTCAAAAAAAAAAAAAAAAAAAAAAAATGGAAAACACTTCAACAGCTTTTTATAAAGTTAAACATACACTGACCATAAGATCCAGCCACTCCATTAAGAGAAAATGAGAGCATATGTCTATCCAAAGACTTGGACACTAATGTTTATCACAGCTTTATTTGTGATAGCTGAAAACTAGAAACAATCCAAACATACATCAACAGGTAAATGAATAAACCTATTGGAGTATATATCCATACAATGAAATGCTATCATCAACAAACAAGGAATAAACTGTTAATACATGTAACATGGATGAAATAGTCATGGTAAATAAAAGAAGCCGGGCAGAAAAGAGCATATACTATATGATTCCATTTATATAAAACTCCAGAAAGGGCAAACAAATCTATATGACAGAAGTAGATGAGTGGTTTCTAGAGGGCAAGGGGATCATCTAAACATAAGGAAACTTTAGGGTTGATGGATAGGTTCATTATCTAGAGTTTGATGATGATTTCTCAGGTATATTTTAAACTCATTGTATACTTTAAGTGTAATGTATGTCGCTTATAAATATTTAAAAGGACATAGCCAGGGGAAGGTGGAACAAGATGACTGAATAGAAGCCTCCACTAATCTTGCTCCCTGCAGGAACACCACATTGAATAACTATCCACACCCACAAAAGCACCTTCATAAGAACCAAAAATCAGTTGAGCGATCACAGTACCGGTTTTAATTTCGTATCACTGCAAGAGGCACTGAAAGGGTAAGACAGTCTTGAATTGCCAAATGCTATCTCTCCCCAATCTCCCGCAGCAGCCACCTGGCAAGGAGAGAAAATTTGTGC